TACCAAGCCGAGGCTGGCTCAGTGTTTCTCAACCTTGACCATTTTAAGGCATGTGGACTTCAACTCCCAGAATTCCACAGCCAGCATTGCTGGCTGTGGAATTCTGGGAGTTGAAGTCCACATGCCTTAAAATGGTCAAGGTTGAGAAACACTGCGAGAAAGATCTCGTGAATTATTGCAGCATCTCCCAGACCCCTTACTGGCGCTGGGCTGTGGCCTGGAGAAAGGGCGAAAGCCTTCACAGCCGAGCTAAAGCCACAGCTGCTTAGCAAGCCAAACAAACCTCCATGCCCAGGCAAGGCTCAGCCTTCTGCTTCGTCTTGCAGAGAAGCCTCCATTCCTTTCACCCACCCACCCACCCCGTCTTAGAGAACCATCGAAGCTTCGGCGGGCAAAATTCCTCCCCCCCCCCCCATCGCTTGCAAGGCTGGGGCGAGGATGAAGCTCGAACACTCACCGATGGCGACGTAGGACCTGCTGACGCCGGTCTTGCTCTCGATTTTAGCCAGCACGTCGGTCAGGCAGTTCTTCTCGCGCAGGAACTTGTCGAACCTCTCTCTCATGGACGCCGTCATGCCGAGATCTTCTGGCGTGGCTCGTGGCTTCGGCTTCGCCTCCTGCAACCGATCCGCCCGAGCAAGAATCCCGCAGCGGGGCTGACGCTTCGCCTTCCTCGCGCGGAACAGCCAGCCCTCCCCGGCCTCTAGGAGGTGGAAGCGGAGCGAGAGAAAGAGAGGCGAGGCGACGTCACTGCAAGGAGGAATCGGCGTCAGCGCTGACTCGGCCAGCCGGCCCACCCTTCGTCCTCCCCCTCCTGCCTCGGGGCTGCGATTGAACGCCACGCCCGAGAGCCGCCGGCAAAAAAACGCCCTTGCGCCAAGAGCGGGCGATCGGTCGTGAATACGACCAAGGGGCTTCGAGCGGTGAGGGGATTGGCAAGCCAGCCGCGTCCCTTGCCGGGCTCGGACCCTTTGCCTCTTCTTGCAGACGCCGTCCGAACTGCTTTTGCGAGCTTTATAAGCAGGGCTTTTCAACCTTTTCACCCATTGCACCACTTTTAGGATAGGGCAACATCCGAGTACCGCCAGTCGCCTAGCAAGGTGTCAAAAACTTGAGGACCAAAAAAAAGGAAAAAGGTGATGAACTACAGGGAGTCCTCGACTTACACAGTTCGCTTAGTGACTGTTCGAAGTGACAGTGGCAGAAGAAAAAAGTGCCGCCCCCCAAGCCACAGCCGAGCAAGACACCTGCCTGCCCACCTGGCGGCGCTCTTCCTCCTGTCCGAGGTTTTCATTGTTGTGAGCATTTCTGTTGAGGATTGGGATGGGGGGGTGTTTGGTTTTTATTCCCCCCCCGTCTGCTGGGTGGTTGCAGCAGGTTTTGGTCACTTCACATGACCCTGGGACACTGTGACCGTCATAAATATGAATCAGTTGCCAAGCATCTGAATGTAAATCACAAGACCCTGGAGAAGCTGCAACATTCCAGCTGATCGGCGCTTCTTCTGGGCTCAGCAGAAGGGCCAGGATCAGCGCCGAGCTCCAGCTGGAGCCTGGTGCTTCCACTGAGCCCTGACAGCCCCCAAAAAGTGCTGATTCTGGTGTTTCCGCTGAGTCCTGACAGCCCTGCAGCTCCAGCCATCTCTCGCTCAGGCTTGTGCGGTGCTGCCACCGGTTTCAGCTTATTCCCCTTCCCCACTACCACTTTTCTAGGATGGTCGCGTACCACCTGCCAGGTGCCAATGTACCACAGGTGGTACCCTACCACTGGTTGAAAAGCCTTGCTTTATAGCCTCATCCACACGCCCTCGTGGCTCCGGTGTTATGATGGAGGCTTCTCACCGCACAGGTAGTCCTCAATTTATAGACCAGTCACTTAACAACCATTTGAAGTTACAACCAACCTCCCTCAGGCTACTACTTCTGATGACTCTCCTCTCCCTCCACCATGGTGATGTGATCACATTTTGGGCATTTGGCAACCGACCTGCATTTACTGTCATTTGCTTTTTTCGATGCAAAAGGAGGAGTCATAGGGGCTGAACCTGCCGATTCGCACCGCAGGGGTGTGGACCCAAATCCCGTCTCTCCTGTGTGAAATCCATTCAAGAAAGAATGCAGAAGCAAAACAACCCAGCGGAATGTTTATTTTCAGCAGGGGCTGTCTTCATTTGGTGGTAGTGGCGGTGTCGTTTCCCTTCACCAGTGTTACCAGAATCAGCCAATCTAATTTTGCATTAGGGAGGGGGTATTCAGGCTGCAAAGTGCACATAACCGTACTATTCTGTCCAGAAGATGCTCAAATGTGAAACTATAGTCAAATCTAGGCTACCTTTTGAAGTAGGCTTATATGCAAGCAAGATACAAATATTGGAATTGGGCTCTAGCACTGAGTTCTATTGATCTGGATAGAAACTGGATCACGCTGAACAAGAATAGCATAGTAAATTATTGCACAAAGCTGGGCCCTGATGAAAACACCTTCTGCTTTGGTACTACAATAGTTGATTCCTAAGAAAGCATCTCAGCGTTTGTGCAACACTTTTGAAACCACGAGAACTGCTACCTGGTGTGCTGTCCTCTACTGCAGTGAGAGATGACACCAAAATTTTGTGTCACTGCCAATAAAGAACAAGGCAAACTGAGCATGGGTAACAACCTATGTTAGAACTTACCATGTGACAATAAGGAGGGGTTGAAACATAATTACTTCTAAAAGTAATTATTCTAAAAAGTAAATAGTAAAATGCAACACAATCAAGAAGAATTGTTTAGTATATGAGAGTGCTAATGGTTTTTTTTAAAAGGCCACATTATTTGCACATCCTTTCCCCATCTAGTTATAAGAACAAAAACTTAAGGTGTTAGTCAACAGTGGAAATTTTCACACAATAGAAATAATTTATAGGTCAAGTTCGCACGTGAGTCCCATAATGGCTAAACCTGACATGAAACACAAATATATTTATTTCAAACACTGTTAAGCTCCAACGGCTAAGTAATCAAAATCTCAATATCCGGATTTCTGTAGTCATCCCTTAGAACAGGGGTGTCAAACTGCCAGCCCGTGGGCCGGTTTCATCATACCGAAGCTGCGCCCACCCCATTGCTGGCAATGGCAAAAAAGCTCTGATACGTCACGCGACATCATGTGACGTCACGAGTTTGACATGCCTGCCTTAGAATATTGCAGAATATTGAATGGCTAAGTCTATATAGCGTGGAAGGTTGGGACTCTCAAATTTCCTACCAGTGAAGCCCTCCAAGTCGTGATATGCTCATTCTAACACTGATGCATGATATAAGGCTGTAACAACGTGTTTTTTTTCTGGAGATTGAAAAGAAAAAGTGCAAAAAAACCAAACTAATTTCAATAGTGCAATGTCATGGCCATGGAGCATAGATGTATGGGATTAGCTTATATAGTTGTTCTTTCCTTTGCAGACAAACCAGTTAAATTTTATTTACAAATATGAGTAACATGTCAAATCTCTTTTTAACTTTTGCTATTAAGATGCAAATAATCAGTGTTGGTACATTAACAGTTATAAAGCTTTTCAGATCACAGTGAAATGACTCAATTTTTTAAAAAATTGCCAAAGAAAATGCAATGCATTTGCAGACATGTTATGGCTCTTGTCTACTGCAAATGGTGCATTTTGTTTTGGAGAAGTTGTAATTTGGTATTATAGACAAGATTATTATAAAGAAAATTAGTATCTTCATGCCCAAGTTGAAGAATCACACAGTTTGCAAATTTGTATAGAAATAATGATAAAAGATCATTTTAGCAGAACACAAAGGAATAGCAATCATACCTAGCACAGGAGCAGCACGTTGGACTAGGTCCTTTCTTAATCTGTTATATTGTTACTGTTAAAATTTCTTGCCTGAAAATCTTACCTATTCTTATATGGAGGACTCTATTCCCTCTGCTTCCATTATCTACATTGTTCTGGCTTCCTAGAGATTCTAAACTTTAATCAGAGGCTTGGAAAGTGTTCTTAAACCTAATTCTTTTTCATTCCAGGTTAGCAATTTCTGCCAGAATACTCTATCCAGTTTTTAAAACTCCAATCTCTTTTTATCCATGCTCTATTCTTTGTCATACACCAGAATTTCTATTGTCAGAATGCATACTCTGTGTCAGGCTGGTAGCCTGTGGTATTGTGAATGTCTATGAAGCAGGCACATTCACAAGTACTGTTGTTTAATTGCTAAGCTATGTCCAACTATTTGCGACCCCATGGACCATAGTATGCCACACTCTCCTGTCCTCCACTGTCTTCCAAATTCATGTTCATTGTGTCAATGACACTATCTAACCATCTCATCCTCTACTGTCCCCTTCTCCTTTTGCCTTCAATCTTTCCCAATATCAGGGTCATTTTCAATCTCCTCATTAGGTAGCCAAAGTATTTAAGCTTCAGCTTCAGTATCTATCCTTCCAAAAAAGAGTCAGGATTGATTTCCTTTAGGATTGACTGAACTCCTTGCAGTCCATTGGACTCTCAAGAATCTTCTCCAGGACCACAATTCAAAAGTATCAAGTTTTCAATGCTCAACCTTCCTTATGGTCAAACTCTCACAGTCATACATACTACTGGAAAAACCATAGCTTTGACTATACAGACCTTTGTCAGCAAGGTGATCTCTCTGCTTTTTAATATGCTGTCTAGGTTTTGCCATAGCTTTCCTCCCAAGCGTCTTTTAATTTCATGGCTGCAATCGCCATCTGATTTGATCTAGGAGCTAAAGAAAATAATATCTGACATTGCTTCCATTTCTTCCCCTTCTATTTGCCAGGAGATGATGGGACTGGATGCCATGATCTTAGTTTTTTTAATGTTGAATTTCAAGCCATTTTTTTCACCCTCATCTTTCACCCTTATCTAGTACTACAAACATCTGAACAGAATCAGTCCATTTCATAAGTCCATCTCTGCAAAAGCTGCATAGATTCTAGAATCCCAATTTTAAAGATTTCATGGAGGTCTTCATGGCACAATTATATTTAGAAAACACCTGTCCTGATATCTATAATATATGCACAAACCTCAGGGAGTATTACCAGAGATTGGCTGATACAAAATTGTCTTCCTTGGCTTCACATTTTTGAACTGGATTATGCAAAAGTACAACTTCAAATTAATGAGAGTATCTTTCTCAGATGCAGAGAATTCAGTGCTGATTGCAGTTTAAGAATTGTTGAACCGATGTTTAAATGTTGTGAAGACACAAAAGCAATTTCTATTTATATAAGGGATGGAATTATGAACAGATGGTTTACATATACATGGTCACAGTTCCTGATGGATAAATACCAAAGACATGACAGATGGCAACAGTTCAGCAGCTAGTTCTCTTTTAAGATTTCTTCTTTTTATTGAGTAATTATATGCCTATTAGCATATACATCCTTTTTCTAGTTTATTTTAGTACAATAAACAATATCAAAACAGAAACAGTAACAACAGTAAACTTATCATTAAAAAAAGGATTAAAACATTAAAATGAGGGGGGAAAAGAAAAAATCTCCAATAATCTTGAAAAAAAAATAGCAAAACTTAACAAATACAATACCAAGGGGATTAGAGTTAAGGCTGAAACAAAAATCAAATCTATATAATTTATGGCCAATGTTTTACATAAAATACCATGTAATACTATATTGTAATCAGAAGAAGGAAAACATCTAGTGCCACTGTAAAATATTGTAACATGTATCCCAATGATATATTGTTTCTTTAATATTCTAAAATTCTAAAAACAGGAATGAACAAACCATGGTTCAAATAAACATATTAGCAGGAGTCACCTACTATGTTCATGGGGGCATATTTTCTTGTAAAGGCATCTAGAATTTCAATTTTAGATTGCAAATCTATCTGCACCTATCTTGTTTCCACTGAACACAACAGCACTCAATGATACATTTACGATTACACAGTTCTTCTCTGAAAATCCCACATGATTACTCATCCAATTAGTGACATGTGGAACAAGTTTCTTTAGATGGCCAGACTGATATTAAGTGCTATAATAACCCACTTCAAACTAACCTCTTAAAGTAGCTTAAAGGTAAAAATTCCTTTTTGGAGCTACTTAAAAAAAAAATCCCAGCAGAAGACGTATTTTCCATTGCCTAATGCATATATGGTTTATAAAAAAAGAGCTAGGGAAGCTATACTACAGCAATTCAGCATCCTTTCTCATCTTAGAACGGACTAGCACCTGGATCAGCTATGCTTATTGGCTAGTTTCAGACGAGACACCAAACTAGGAATTCGCCAATCACGTTGTAGACAAGCATGTAGCGCAAACTACCCACTTAATTTATGGCTCCGTGTGTTGCGTAAAACCAGAAAATTGGATTCAGCAAACACCATTAAGTCGGTATCTTATATGAACACAATCACTAAAACAAATGGCACTATCACTTTGAGAAAAAAAATGGAACAGGGCCGGGACCTCATGAACCCAGCTTTAAATTACAAGCTAGCAGGGGTAGTCAACCTTGGCTCTTTTATGACTCGTGGACTTCAACTCCCAGAATTCCTGAGCCAGCACAGCTGGCTCAGGAATTCTGGGAGTTGAAGTCCACGAGTCATAAAAGAGCCAAGGTTGACTACCCCTTGAGCGACAGTATTCGGGAATTAACCTGCTAACTAGGAAGCTTTCTGGCTTTGCTTCATCCTCGGGGACTACCTACGATTCTAAAGCATGCGCAGTAGAAATTGCAAGAGGATTTAATCCTTAATCTTTTTCTTGAAAGGCGCGGGATCGCGCCCCAAACACTCCGTCCTCCTTCTCAGCTGCTTCCTCCCAACCCAGTCGTTTGCAGCAATAAACGGCGTTCCCTCCAGGGTCGCTCGTTATAGCGGAGAGCTATTTTCTTTGATTATGTCACGATGATTGGTTCCGACCTCCTTTCAACCCGCCCCTTCGAAGGTTGATCGGGTCTAATTGGCTCTTCCTTAAACCCCTTCTTTCCTATGGGATGGAATCGGGGAGGCTCCGCCTTTGCCGTATTCACCCGGTTTGGTTTTGCCCCTCCGGCCTGTGTCGTGCGCTGGTCGGGCCTCGTTGCGTCGGGATGAGCTACGCTCTTTCTCCATGGAGACCAAGCGCCCTGAGATTCCCGGCAGCGTCTTGGATGACCTGTGCAGGTATCGCTTCCGTCCCAAAAAAAAAAAAAACAGCTCGAATGGCCCCTGCGGTCCTTCTCTTCGTCCCCCAAAATGCCTGCCGCCTCCTCCTCCTCCTCCTCCTCCTCTAGCAAGCGGTCCGAGGGACCTCCACAATTGCCTCCGTTTCAGATAAATAATTTTAAATTAAAGTGCTTGGACGGAGGGGCGTTTGGGTCTTGACCCTACTCTGGGATGAGATCCATCCGTTATGCCGAGCCGTCATTCGTGAACGATTAAACAAACTGCAGTTGGCTGGATTTCCACGCAAGGTTAAGCCACAAACCGTGGTTTATCTGCAACAGTTGACTGGGTTCCTGCAACCCGTTAAGCCAGATATTGTGGCTTTGTGCAGTCTGAACCTCCCATAAGGTTCACGGATCAATTCTATAAAATGAATCCTGGTTTTTAATTTCGCCCCCCCCCCTTGTAAACATTTTTGCAGTTCTGTTGAGTTCACAGCAGATTTCCGATAATTTCCAATAATTCTGAAAGTATTAAAAATGTTAATTTTTTCTCTCTCATAACTTATTTAAAAAGTTAAATTCTTTTAAAAATGGGGAACATTCTAAACCAGCTTTAATTAAGAAACTGATCAAAAGTGTTAACATTTATTGTGGAAGAGAACTAATAGAGGTGAAGTACCCATAACTTTATGTGTCTTAAGTGAGGGATAAAACAATAAAAGCCTGAGGCTAAATCAGGCATTTTGGCTCAATTCTGACTTAAATGATTATAAAAATATTGATTAGATTTAAGTAGCGGTCAAAAACAGTTCTTAGCTCGTTTAATTATCTGAATACAAAGCTTTTAGGAATTAGCTTTCTGGATATTTACAGTTATATATATTTGTGTGTGTGTATGTATATGTGTATGTGTGTATCTAATATATATATTAGATACTTAAGTTATTTAATTAAACTGAGCCATATTTCAAAAGATTAACTCTTTTGTTGGACAGGATATTTCTTTAAAAGTCAGGGGTGGAAAATGTAAAATAGCCCCTGGCAAAGTCAAACATTATTAAAGAAGTGTGATGGATTGGATTGCAAATTTATTAAAGTTAATATCAGTAGTTGGTAACCAGAATCCTAGAAGAGGAATTGCCTTATTGTAGAGAAAAGTTGAGATGTCTCTTGGGGTGGTCTTACTCAGATACAAGTATGTAATCTAAAAATACATTTAGGGTCCATGAGATAATTTCTTGGAAAAAGTGTAATTATAGAAAAACATTTAGTTAATGAAGCTGTAATCAAAAAAGGTGACAGCCCATTTAGAACTATTTCAAGATTTTAAAAAATGCTGAGTAGCCCTAATAGATTCAGTGACATATAAATGGAAGAAGTAAATGCTCCCATTTGACATTATTACTAGTGAATGTCTAGTTAACTTTTGGTTACAATGAAAATGGCTTCTGACTGGTAATAACTTTTTAAAAAAACTAGTTTATAGTGGATGGTTTAGGAAAATGGAGGAAAACAGAGGAAAACCAAAATTTTCTGATTCATTTAGAGCAGTATTGTGCAGACTACAGATTTCCAAGATCTGATTTGTTATTACACGCCTGAATTTTTCCACGTTGATAAAACATGCAAAATATTAATTTGATAATTTGTTCTAATAGTTTAATAATTACATTCATATCCCTCATTTTGTAGTTACAGTAATAATTTCTTAAATATTATACATGTTCAGTGTTAAGCTCAAAGATAGCTTGTAAGATAGTAAATTATTCAAAATGTTGTTACAACTTATCCTTATAGAAGAAATATATTATTTGTCCTATGGAAAACACTTGTATGGGCCACATCCCAGTAAGTAGGAGGGGCAAGACAAAGAAAAATTCTGAAGCAGCGTAACTTTAAATTATTTTTTAAAATTATATATTAAAATAAGGAGCCATTGTGGTATTGAAGTTAAGGTGGCTGGCCTAGAAACCAGAAGACTGTAAGCTCTAGGCCTCCCTTAGGCGTAAATGGCCCTGAAGTCATGAGTTTGCTATTGGCCTGGGGACTCAGGGTGATATGGAGTGCATCAGCTAATTGGTTTGATTGTTGTTGCTAAGGCCTGGAGTCACAGTGAGTGAGTTAGATCAAGGCTTTTCAACCAGTGGTACGGGTACTACCTGTGGTACATTGGCACCTGGCAGGTGGTACGCAACCATCCTAGAAAAGTGGTAGCGGGGAAGGGGAATGAGCTGAAACCGGTGGCAGCACCGCACAAACCTGAGCGAGAGATGGCTGGAGCTGCAGGGCTATCAGGGCTCAGTGGAAGCACCAGGATCAGTGCTTCTTCAGGACTGTCAGGGCTCAGTGGAAGCGCCAAGATCAGCGTCAGGCTCCAGTTGGAGCTCGGCACTGATCCTGGCCCTTCTGCTGAGTCCAGAAGACGCGCCAATCATATGGAATGTTGCAGTATCTCCAGGGTCTTGTGATTTACATTCAGATGCTTGGCAACTGATTCATATTTATGACGGTCACAGTGTCCCAGGGTCATGTGAAGTGACCAAAACCTGCTGCAACCACCCAGCAGACGGGGGGAATAAAAAACAAACACCCCCCACCCCACCCCCGCTGCTAATCCTCAACAGAAATGCTCACAACAATGAAAACCTCGGACAGGAGGAAGAGCGCCGCCGGGTGGGCAGGCAAGTGTCTTGCTCGGCTGTGGCTTGGGGGGCACTTTTTTCAGTGCCATTGTAACTTCGAACAGTCACTAAGTGAACTGTTGTAAGTCGAGGACTACCTGTACTTCGTTACTTTTTTCCTTTTTTTTTGGTCAAGTTTTTGACACCTTGCTAGGCAACTGGTGGTACTCGGATATTGCCATATCCTAAAAGTGGTACAATGGGTGAAAAGGTTGAAAATCCCTGAGTTAGATGGCCATATAAAATTTCTGAATGAATGAATGCCAGCTAGGTGACTTTGAGTCAGTCACACTCTCTTGACTCACCTCACCTCACCTCACAGGGTTGTTTTTGTGGGGAAAATAAGAGGCAATAGTATTAGGTAGTATTGTTTGCTGATTTGAATTAACTAGATATAGGTGTGTGGAAGTGGGATGAGGAAATATAATAACAGTTATTTTATTTTACTCTTTTGTCACAATAAACTGGATTGAATAGTCTCAGAGGGTATACCAAAGAATTGCACATGGTTGTGGAGCTGCAGGTTGTGTACCATTGTCCTAAAGAAATTGAATCTTCAGATTTCACTAGTCTTGGTTTTGGTGATCTTAGTCTTAGCCACTGCCATTTGTCCAGCATTAGTATAGTTTCCAGGTGCCTCAAACTTGCCTGCCCCAGTTTTAAATCATTTTGCAACTTGGGCTTGTTTTATAGAAGTATTGGATTCATTTATGTTGTGTATTAACCATAGAAAATAACAAAATACTTATTTCTTACATTTATTTTTTACCTTTGACAGTCGTTTTATTTTGCACATTCCGAGTGAAGAACGAGACAATGCAATTCGAGTCTGTTTTCAGATTGAGCTTGCCCATTGGTTTTACTTGGATTTCTACATGCAGAACACACCAGGATTACCTCAGTGTGGGATAAGAGATTTTGCTAAAGCTGATATCCTTTCTATGTGATTTTGTTAAACATACAAATGATATTAAAACATAGATAGGAAAAAGGTTGCATTGGGGACGATATGCAAACCACCCAGAGTAGGTGGGAATTATGCAGCTTATAAATTTAACAACAACAAAAACAATAATAATATATGTGCACTGCAGAAATAGAAGCAGGGGTTTACATGAAGACAAAGAAACAGTCAAAAGAAGAAAAACATGCATTGGCTGATTATGTAAAAGGTAGCCAAGAACAAACATTGATGCAAATTAAAAATTGGAACTTAATGTACAGGAAACAAAACATGAACATCAAAATAATTTCATAAAAACGTGAGCCAAATGCTGGCAAAGAAAAGTATTACACGGTCAATTTCTACAAAAGAGCAAGGGAAAGTGGATAAAGATAAAAACAAATACCGGTAGTTATAAAATAGAATTAAAGATATTTGCAGATATGTAACATCTAGACAATATAAATTGAAACAAATAAACCATTTTCAAGACAATCAACACTCTAAAGTCTTGGCATGAAATTTAATGCTTTTGAAAGGAAAGGAGATGAGTATGTATCCCAAGGCTACTGAAAACCTGTTATCCTGCTAAGTGTTAAGTTAATGCTTTATATAGCACAGTGTTATTTTGCTATAAGAAAGAAGATAAATGAATGAAGTGTTATAACTTGAAAGTTCAGAAACTGCGTATTAATTTTGAATAAAGCTAATAGTCAATACATATGTTTTAGGACAGAGTTCCCCAACCTTTTCGGCTTTGTGGACCAGTGGAGGGGGGAAGAGGTGACAGTTCTGTGTAGGAGACTGGCAAGCGTGCCTGCCACAGATACAGATCCATCCCCTCTATCCCCCCCCGCCGTTCCACAAAGCTGCAAAGGTTGGGGAACCCGAGTGAGGATGTGCATGTGTGCTTACCCACCACTTCTGTAGCCCTGTTCCGAAAGGCTCAAGTCCTGGTAGTGGGCCAGGGGTTGAGGACCCCTGTTTTAGGATATCACAAATCCATCAAGCTATTATTTTCTGTGATCTGATCTCTTATGCTGATTTCACCTGACTAACCATGCATTTAGCCACTTGAGAGTCTAGGACAGGGGTCCCCAACCCTCGGGCCGAGGCTCACTACCAGGTCTTGAGCTTTTCGCAACCAGGCTGCGGAAGTGGCGGGTAAGTGCACATGTGCATGGGCACATCCCCACTTATGCAAGTAGTGAATGAGCACATGCATGTGCACCATTTGCGCAAGCGGGCACACGTGCCTGCTGCTCATGCAAATGGAGCTATGCACGTGTGTGTGAGCTTGCCCACCGCACATGCAAACCATCCCCTCCCCCACTGATCCGCAAAGCTACAAAGGAGCTACGGGCGTGTGTGTGCACTCGCCCGCTGCGCAAGCAAACATCCCCTCTTCCCCCCTCGCCGATCTGCAAAGCCGCAAAGGTTGGGGAAATCTGGTCTAGGAATTCATTCCGGATTAAAATGCTTAATGGGGGAGTGCTTTATTCGGGAAGGCATTTCCCCAGTTCGGTGGCTCATTGAGTGTTCCTCTGTTTTTGGTTTGAACTTACTGTTTTTCACTTTTATAATTTATTATCTATTTTATATATTTATTCAAATACCAGCTATTAAATATATTTGCATTTTATGAAAACAGTCGTAGCAGAATATCCCATTTACTTTGAATTTGAAAACCCAGTGTTTTTGTGTAAATATGCAGGGGTTGGACTAGATGACCTCCAAGGTCCCTTCCAACTTTATTATTATTATTATTATTATTATTATTATTATTATTATTATTATTATTATTATTATTATTATTATTATTATTATTATTATTATTATTATTATATAATAACTAAGTAGAAAAATATCAAAGAACTATTTCAAAAGGGAAGGCAGTAACCATAAGTTCATTACATTCTGCAACATACTTGTTAAAAAGGAATAGGATTTATTTTTTTTTACAAATTATACCTTTTCTACCATTTTCTGCTTTCATGGGTCATCAAAGGAGGCAGCAGAACAATTTTTTTTCTTAAAACTGAAATTGTTCTAATCAGCTTCATCTAAAAGCATTATTAAAGTTTATTTGGAGCAACTATTGGCGACTAATGTAGATCTCAATTAACAATTGACTTGTATAGTGGCCATTTCAAAATAGCAACAGCACTGAAAAAGTAACATTATGGCCCGTCCTCGCATTTATGACCATCACAGTGTCTCCAGGATTACATAGTCGTAAGATCCTTTATTTGAGATCCTTTGTTTCATGACCTGCAATGATTGCTTAATGACAGAATGGGAAATGACATTGAAAGTCCATCAGAGTCAAATGATACTTCACTTAGTATCCCACTCTAAAATTGTTTACTGCCAGCTTTTTCATGTCATAAACTTGATCAGAGTACATAAACTGGCTTTTTTTTACAACTTAGTCTCAGTGGTTTTAAAAATTGGCAAGGAATGTCGTGAGATTTTTAAAGTTCTTACGGTTAATTAGAACAGTTTCCCAACATTTTGACCCTGTGGAATACATTTCAAAATGAGAGAAACTGCAGTTGAAATGATTGTAAAATGGCTCCTATGGGATAGGCTGTTAAAAAAAAGTATCTCCCCACGGCAGGAGAATCTGATCATTTGTTAAAGAAATTTGGAAGAGTTGGTTGAGAACAAATCACGTAGAGTTCTTTTTTAAAGAAAAAGAACAGAAATTACGTTTGCAGTAAACTCGGTAAACTGTAAATAAAAGCTGGTAAATGCAAGGGGCTTTTGAGAATACAGCTGGAAGTATTTGGGCCATGGGCATACTTAGGAAATAAGAGTTAAAGGAAATTGCAACTTGTACAGATGACTAGGGCAAATAACTCCACAGTTGGCCAGATTTCCCAAATTGTTTTTAATTATCTTAGACATTAAATCCTATCCAGTAAATGAGACAGCAAAAGAACTCTATTTACTAAAGGCAGCATGCTGAAGGGAAGAAAAAAGCAGTAGAAATGTGGTTTTAAAGTTTTGAGATGTGATTTAGTCAATGAATTTCCTTGACTCCCTATACTTTTCAGCCATTGCCCTTTTTTACTCCCTCAAGGCGAAGATGTGCAGAAGGTTTTAGATGAATGGAAAGAGTACAAAATGGGAGTGCCAACTTATGGTGCAATCATTCTTGATGAGACCCTTGAAAATGTAAGATATTTTCTTTTTAGCTTTGTTGAATAGAATTGACAGATTTAACTGTTGACTTTTAAAGGCAATCTGTAAAAGCAGATCTTCCACATATATTTCCCCACTGTAATAGAAATATCTATGTTATTGGTTTCATTTCGTTTTGTTTACTTTAATTCAGACTTTAGTAGCTAACTCTTGTGAATTTAACTGCGTGTCTATTTACCATGAGTTGATTTTTTTTCCTTATAATCTTTTAATTATGATTGAATATTTATGTTTTGCAGGTGCTACTAGTTCAGGGTTATTTAGCAAAATCTGGCTGGGGTTTTCCAAAAGGAAAAGTGAATAAAGAGGAGGCTCCACATGACTGTGCTGCCAGAGAGGTGATTCTGTTTATTATGTTGTTTGACATATTCCTGTCAGAGGATGGGAAAGGGATAAAAACTTATCCAGACAAACATACATTGTCATTCTCCAAACTGAAGCCTTTATAAATAATAGCAGCGTACCTATGGACATTTATAGAGTTTATTGCAGTTCCTCATCTACTTCACCTGTCTGCTCCCTTATTTATATACTTAATAATTGCTTTATTATATTGCTTCTTTTTGACAGCTTAAATTGTGTTTTTACTTTTACCTCTTAGCCTTTTCTATAGCAAATAGGAGGAGGGAAAAATAACTATTGAGTCTCTTGTAAAGCAGCATCTTAGCCACCATTATCTGCACTGACTCTTGGTCTGTCCTTTCCAGCTCTACTTCAGTTCTTTTTGCCAGCCAATCGGCTTTATGGATCTCACTGATTCTGCAGGCTTCTATTGGGCCCTCAACTGTACATTTCCCCTTCTTCCAAGGATTCTTTCTCCAACACTGCCTGCTTTCCTCCAGCAGCTTCCTCAGTTCTTGCTTCTCGATACACACAGTCCAGCACAACCACACCAACCAATCAACCAACAATCTCCTTTCTTAGCAGTTCTGCCCCTTATAAATCTTCACTGGAAGGCAAGCATGTCTGCTTATGCATGTCTTCAATAGTCTGAGGATATTCTTACTGTCTTTATCGCTCTTGTCATGCAGTTGACCAACTAGCAAAACTTCAGTCTTGGGGCTAAGTTACAGTCCAGTCTCAGGCTTGGCAATTCATCCTGCTAACATCCAAGCATTTTTAATTGAAAAGATTTTTAGAATACAAATATAACATTAAATATAAAGTTGGTGTTGACTCCTTAGCAAACTACATAAATACTGTATATTTTCTCAGGAATAGAATATGCATATTGTATATTGTACACGCAACATACTTATATACTTTTCTACATTACATAGATCCTGGGGCCTTTATTTGTGCTTTTTCTGTGTTCCAGGTTTCATTATTGCAAGTGATAAAATAATTTCCAAATTTACCAAGTCTTTTAGGGTATTTGTTTTATTAGAGTTATCTCCTGCTAGTTGATTAAAATTTCCTGGGAGATGGTATGTGATTCAGTCAGTATAGAGTTAAGTAATAAGAGCAAGTAGTGGTGTCTAATCAGAGACAGTATTTCTCTTCTCCAGAAGCCATCACTGGACCTGACAGCTGGACAGCTTTCATCTAGTCTCCAATCTTCCCTTTCTTAGATTATTAAATCATGGTCAGATTGTAGCTTTAGAGAGCTCTAAATGAAGCAGATTATCTGGTCTTTTGGTCAGGTTTCAGATTGGGACATAGTATGGGGATGGCTTTAAGGTTAATGCTGATAAAGATTGTATAACCAACTTGCCTCTTCTTAATCTCTTAGCAGCTTTAATACTATCTATCATGATATTCTGTGTCAGTTCCAGGGATTAGGAATGGGAGACATGATATTATGGTGTTTTTCTTCCTATCTCTTGGACTAGTTCCAGTTGGTGTTGGTATAGAAAGAGATCGGCCCTTTGATGCCTTACCTATTTAATGTCTCAAGGTTCGAAATCACTGGGTGAAATCATTTGCTGACACAGGATCTTTCAATATGCTAATGATACTCAGTTGTATATCTTGACTCCCCCAATTATCAAGGTCATTTCTTGTTGCCTGGAAGCTTAGACTCAACCCTGGCAAGGCAGAGTGGTTATGGATTTTGGGGTCTCCTGGTATCTTTAAGTATGGACAGGGTTGCACTTCATCAGAGAGACCTAATATGTAATTTGGAGGTTCTTCTGGATCTTGAATTCTGTCTGAGCAGCTATGGCCCAGAATTGTCTGGTTGCACCTATTACATTCTTGCCTGGACTGAGATTCCCTTCTCACAGTTACTCATGCCTTAAGCACTTCATAATTGGACTATTGCAATAAATTACAACCATAGGGTTGAGATTAATAGCAGATCATACAGGCAGTCACATAACTATTCAGGCACTGATGGGTGCACCCGTACACCCATGTAACACATCTGTTATTTGAATTGCTAATTATTTACAGGTAGGCCTCAACTTATGACCAGCTGTTTAATTTTTGACAAGCCTAGATCGGGTGCTTTATGGCCCATGAAACATTTATGACCATTATAAAATGCTGTACAACACTCCCCCCCCCCTTGCATGATTGTGTTTTGGGTGCTTGATAGCCGGCTTGCCTTTATGATCAGTTGCAGCATCCTGTAATCACATGATCACAATTTGTTAAGGCTTTTTGCTGGTTCCTGGCATTTTTTTGCTGAATACCGTCAAAAAAAGCCCCATTCAGAACAATGGCTTCACACTTCTGATTGCAACGGTTGATCAATGACTTTGGATTTGCTTATTGACTGTTCCCAAAAATTGTAAAATCAGATCTGGTCATGTGAGCACCTCAACTTACTGCAGGATCATAGAAACACGACCGTAAATCCAGCCTCACTTGTGAGTCTAAGTCGAGGCCTACCTGCATTTACATGATCTTATTATCACTGCACTATTCTTGAGGTGCACATTCAAAACTAGAGGTACGTTCCTCCAACAGAGGTGTGATACCTTTAGCTACTGGAAATCTAATTATTTGAAAAATCCACTAATAATAACAGTATCATTGATTTTCAGTTTCTGTTCCAAGTATCCTTGTATTATATAATTTTAGTAGTTCTGCATATATCTTTTTTTGCTTTCTTAAAACTGTAGTAAAGAGTTACAACTTTAGTCAGATAATATAACTAAGCCAGATTTTTATAGCAAAAGTCTGCATCGGATTTCTTATTTTTTTTCAACCTAAAACAATCATTTCTTTATTTCTAAATATTTGCATAAATTGTATTCTGATCTTATCCTTTTTCAGGTATTTGAAGAAACTGGTTTTGATATAAAAGATTATATTAATAAAGATGACTATATTGAATTAAGAATCAATGATCAGCTAGCACGATTGTATATCATCCCAGGCATTCCAAAGGACACAAAATTTAATCCTAAAACAAGAAGAGAGATTCGGGTAAATCCACCTTTCAACTATAATTGAATGCTCAGATACTAAAAAATTAGTGATATTATAAGATTATTGAGGAATATCATGCATTTTGATAGAAACTCTCACGGTATTTCCTTTATATTAGATCTGCCCAAACTAAGCTGTAAAAATCTGGATGACAGTTAGATGGTAGCAAAGAGTTGTGGTAGTCAAGACTTTTTACAACCTAGGTCTGATGTTTTTCCTTATGTAAAATTCTTTCTTTAGGCAGAGCAATGCAAAGAGAACTATTTCCAGAGCCCTACTGCTAGGAGATAGGAAAGATTAACATTGTTTTTAATCTTTATCTTTGCTATTTACTTTTACTTTTTGTCACATTTTTACTTTTGGGAGAGAACTGAAATCTCCTAATTTTAAACTGGAGTAATGAAATGGGCTGATTTGGACGTCTGCTAGTAGACCAAGGGATCTTATTTCTGATCTATTCCTGATATAATTTAGCTGTCTCTATCATCAACAAGGATACCACTATATTTTGTATTCATGGAGCTTCCTAAAATATATTAGGTGGTCCACAATGAATATGCTGGCGATGATTTCCACTTATAAAGTGGTACTTCCATCTCATCCAGTTTCAAGATTCACTGAACTAAATCTTTTAATTGTTTACCTGGTTACATTATTTATTTATTAAACACATTTGTATAGGTACCCATCTCACCAAAGTGATTCTGGATGACATACAACAGTTGAGTAAAACAACAGATACTTATTTTTTTAATGTAGAATTTTATATTTTTATATTATAAAAATGAATATGCAAACCTTGGGCAGAGAGAGGATAAGAATGGCCACCTCAACAATAGAGCCATCAAACCATGTCTCTGTTTACCTGGAAGCCCCAACCCTGATAACTTTATCAGGCCTTGAGGGACTTCCACAGTGTGAACATGGATGGAGTTAATTAATTTTGGGGGAAAACATGTTCGATAAGGTGGGCACCTCTCCTGGGACCCACCCAATATAAGTCCCTGGCTGATTGCACCTGCAGCATGCCTTCTCTGCCAGATTTAATGAAGTGGGCTGATGTGACTGAGAAATGTCACTCAGATAGCCCAGTCCCATGCATGAAGGGCTTTAAAGGTTAAAATCAGCATCTTGAATTGGACCTGGAAGCAAATTGGCAGCCAGTGTAGCTTACGCAGCAGAAATGTAAAATATGCTGTTCTAGGGGGTGCATATGTCCATGCCACTGCATTCTGCATCAACTGAAGCTTCTGGATATTCTTCAAGGGCAAGATCCATCTAGAATGCATTTCAGCAGTCCAATCTGGAGGTGACTGTTCATTTATTTTCATAAAGCCTTATTTATTAGAGATGAAAAAAATTGTTGTAATGTCACCTTTCTGCTTTGCAAACAGAAGGTAGGAGAACATCAGGAAGAGACAAGACTGCTTAGATTCTAAATGTTTTGAAATAATTTTGTAGCAGCCTTTTTTTACATTACAGATACCACTTGTTCAGTGACCATTCAAAGTTACAATGGTGCTGAACAGGGAAACTTACAACTAGTCCTGAAAGTTGCAGCTGTCACAGTGTCCCGGTGATCATGTGATCGCAATTCAGGTGCTTGGCAACCGTTGCACAATTATGATGGTCAGTGTCCCTTGGTCACATGATTGCCATTTGCAATCTTTAACGGCTGGCTTCTGATAATAAAAGTCACTGGGAAAGATGTCAGGAAGTCACCAGTTGAAGTCACATTATGTGTTTTAACAATCATGATGATTTGCCTAACTGCAATTGGAACTGATGGAATTTTCGTCGTAAGTTGGTGTGGTCATGTGATTTTTCACTTTATAACCGCGTCGCTTCGTAATGGAGTTGCCAGTCCCAATTACCAGTTGTTAACTGAGGACTATCTGTATTTACAATATTTGCTCGATTCAGTATAAAGAATTCAAATTACTTTTTGGTGATAGAAAAGCTTCCTGAAGATATGCTTTATTTCTTGATTAGAAGGTTAGTGGGAGTTATTATTTCTATCTATCGTATCTGTAAAATGTTAAGTAAATCTCTTTTCTGTGTTTCAGAATATCGAATGGTTTTCAATTGATAAATTGCCTTGCCATCGAAATGACATGACCCCAAAGTCGAAGTTAGGTTTGGCACCTAACAAGTTTTTTATGACCATTCCTTTCATCAGGTATGTTCAAAATGAGAGAAGAAAATAAATCTGTTATGTTCCATTTCTGTATTGAGGATTTTAAGGGTGGGATTTTGAAATCCTGCTTCAAAAACCTGAATATTGGTATTCTAATGTTAACTCTTTGCAGACCCTTAAGAGATTGGCTTTCACGACGGTACGGAGACTCTTCAGATAGTGACAATGGCTTCTCATCCGCCAGTAGCAGCACACCACCTAAATCCAATATAGAAAAACAGAGGTAACTCATTGTAAAACTTGCTAACTGCTTTCAAATATAAGTCAAGTGTTTTCCCCCCTGTAAATGAAATGAATAATAATAGTTAATGACATTTACCTGATACCATTTATCAGCTTTACCAATCCTGTTGCCTGTTGGATTCATTGCATTTTCAGATTGCCATAATTGCTTATGCTTATCAAATACTGATAATAACTAGCCTAGCTATTTACAATGCCGATGAGAAATTGTGGAGTTGGTCTAACAACATTAGAGCATCATCATTATCTATCTATCTATCTCATCTATCTATCTCATTATTATGTATCATCTATCTATCTATCTATCTATCTATCTATCTATCTATCTATCTATCTATCTATCTATCTATCTATCTATCTCTATCCATCCATCCATCCATCCATCCATCTATATCTCTACTGTATCTACCATCTATTATCTTCATTCAAAGCATCAACTGTATATTGTTACTCAGTAAAGGCAGCTTTCATTTAGATTTTCTAGAAATTTAAAAAGAAATACTTGCAGTATGAATATGCTGCCCTATCTTTGGATAAATACTTCTCCAATTTGAGCATCTGTGAATTGACTATATTGTATGTATTATGGAGCTATAGAGATCCGTATCTGCGTGCTGTATGTTAGATAAAGGTAATTAAGATTTTTGTGGTAATAATAATCTCCAAATTATTGTGTTCACATTTTGGGATATCATTTATTTGTGTCATGGCAGAATATAGTTATAGCTAAGTGGCCTTCACTGATATACCATGTGGATGGAACTCCACAAATTTCAGCATTAATTGTATTATTTATCAGCATCTTTTAATACTGAAGCCAATGTCAATGAAAAATTAACTAAACATTTACAATGTCAAGGTATATTCTTTACTTTTAATTGATGTGCTGACTATATTACAGCATGTAAAATAATAATGACCTGGTAGAATAGGCCAACATGAAACAGCTTTTGATGTATTCATAATTGGCTGAATGACCGTACTTGGAGACTAATAAAATGATATTCAGTTGGAGAGTAGACTATCAAGTAGAATGCCTCAGAACAATGTCTTGGGCCCTTTCTGTTCAGCATTGTTCTTAATTACCTGGTTGGAGTCATTGAGAGAAAGATTATCAAGCTACAGGTGATGCAAAGCTAGGAACAGCTACTGCTTTAGAAATGAAAGAGGAGATACAAAAACACATGAAGTATACAGTGAGCCAAAAAGAACAAGGTAAAATTTAAAAAGAGAAAAAGGCATCTGGAAAGAAAAATAGAAAGGCATGAGTATAGGCTGGAAGATACTTGACTTGGCAGTGGTACGTGTGAAAAGGTTTGTGTGTTTTAGTAGATTATGAATTGAGTATGAGCCAGCAATGTGATGTAGCTGCTAAGAAAACAAATGTCATTTTGAAACATACCAACAGAGGCAAAGAGTCCAGATTATGGAAAGTATTTTTCTCATTCTAATCTATTTTGGTCAGGCCTCACTTGGAATACATACTGTGTATCATGTTGGCTGGATTGAATTCAGAGAAGGTGTCAGCATGATGAGGGAACTGAAAGCCAAGGCCTGGGAGGAATGACCGTGTTTCTCCCAAAATAAGCCCTATCCTGTAAATAAGCCCTAGTTTGATTTTTACGTGTGCACCTAATATAAGCCCTACCCCCTAAAATAAGCACATGTAAAAATCAAGCTATGGTGAGGGTTGGGTGGAACTGCCCCATACGCCCTACACACGCTTACCTTAGGACCGCTGCAGCCAGACCTCCCATGTCCTAACACCTGTCACACCACTGTGTCACCGGCGTGATGAGCTACATGGCCTCTTGCCACGATTGGCAGCATTGGCACGATCGGTATAACGATTCATGTGGCGTCCTGCCACTTGCGGCAGCACCAGCACAGGATGTCACATGGCATGCGGCCTCAAGTGGCCGCAGAAGAACTCGGGCAGTGGCACTACAGGTGACGGGGCGTGGGAGGCCTGGCTGCAGCGGTCCTAAGATAAGCGGGTAAGACATCCCCTGAAAATAAGACCTGGTGCCTCTTTTGGTGGCAAAAAATATATAAGACCAGATCTTATTTTGGGGGAAACACGGGATTAAAGGAACTGGTTATGTTTAGCCTGCAAAAGAGAAAACTGAGGCCGGGATGAAGGTACAATAGCACTCTTCAGCTATCTAAAGAGTTGTGATAGAGAGAAGGAACTTGTTCTCTGTATCCTGAAGGCCGGAGCAGAACTAATGAGTTGAAATTACAAAAAAGTATAAGTAAAGAAGTGTAGTCTGACAATTGTTTACCAGTTTTTCAATTCTTTTGGAAAAAAGCAATAATGCCCTAAAAAGAAATGTATCACGCTGCTAAATGATTATTTGATAGAATAGTCTTATTAATATAGTTGTATTGTATGATCATAATTGTCTGCTGAACTTTTCTAAAAAGATGTTTTTTTTAATGAATCAGATCCAAACTCCATTATAGTCAGCAGGTGCTTACAGATACACCCGTGGGAGACCAATCAACAAGGCAGAGGCAATTACAACAACAAAAGCCATATAACAATCATTTGGATATGCCTGAAGCTTTAAAACTAAAGGTGACTTTCTATTAAAATTGCTGTTAGGTTAGGTTTGGTGAGAATTGACTTCTAATATGTTTTAAACATATTTTTTTTAATTTCTTGAACTTACCTTTTAAATGGAACAAGATATTTTTAAATAAACTGAACATATTCGTTGGTGAACTTCTGAGAATACTTGGGCTAGAGCAGTGGTTCTCAACCTGTGGGTCGGGACCCCATTTGGGGTCGATCGACCATTTCATGGGGGTCGCCAAGCAAGGCTGTTTGCCATTTTTTTTGTCCGCCATTTTTTTCCCCCTTTTCTGGCGGGTGCCTTACCTCCCTTGGGCTGGGCCAGCTGGTGGTCGGCCTGCTCCGTCTCTGCCGCTTGCCAGCTACGCCTCAGCCGGCGCAGGGGGCGGAACCACGCATGCGCGGCGCTCCTGGGCAGGGAAAGTCCTCGACTTAAGACCGGTTGGGTAGTCCTCGACTTACGACCGGTTTAGTCCTCGACTTATGACCGGTTTAGTCCTTGACTTACGACCGGTTGGGGTCGCGGCATTAAAAAGGTTGAGAACCACTGGGCTAGAGGGATTGCTGCCCCCTTTATTGGATGTCAGCTTTTGATGGGATGTTTGGGGCTTTACTGAGGTTTGTTATCTTGCTTTTTTGTCTGAGTTTGATTCTGTTATTTCCTGAACTCTATTGTTTTGGTGTGTTGTTAGTTGCTTAGGCTCATTGAGAATTGGGCAGCATCAAATTAATGAATGAAAGTAAATTAGATATATTTTGTTATGAAGATAAATGTATTTTAAAACTAATTATTTTCAGTTGAATCCTGTCCTTAGTTCATTTTTTGTTGTTGTTGCATTACTTGCTTAGAATGCACGAGGCAATGGCAAAAAGCAGTATCAAGATATTCCTAATCAAAAAAAGAGAACAAATGGAGTTCAGAATCAACCAGCCAAACAGAATCAAACTTTGGTAAGATGCACAAAGGTAAATGCAAAAGGGAAAGCATTTTGAACTGGAATTGGGAATAATTTTTGCGTCAAGCACTGTGTGTTGGTGACATTATCTAATGGTTGCCCCAGCAATGGCTCTGGAAATGTTTTTCAGTGCTTTGATTGCTGAGATGGGCTTGTGACATAACATAAACCTGGGTATTCAGCTCTGTCTGTTGGCAAACAAAGCATTTGTGCTCAACAGGTAGCTTTTGGGTATTGCTACTCTTAAGGACCACCCCACCTTTAACCTGGGCTTGATAGGAAAAATGGAGAATGTGCTCTGTTAATATCATCCGAGAATGTTAGATATGTTGAGAATATCTTGCAGTCTTTCTGGGATAGTTTTGTTGGTGTTTTCTTGTTAAGCTGCTGCTTAAAATGGTGTAAAACAGCGGTTCTCAACCTATGGGTCGCAACCCCATTTGGGGTCGATCGACTATTTCACGGGGGTCGCCAAGCAAGGCTGTCCACCATTTTTTTTGTCCGCCACTTTTTTTCCTCTTTTCCGGTGGGTGCCTTACCTCCCTTGGGCTAGGCCAGCTGGTGGTCGGTCTGCTCCGTCTCTGCCGCTTGTCAGCTACACCTCGGCCGGCGCAGGGGGCGGAACCACGCATGCGCGGCGCTCCCAGGCAGGGAAAGTCTTCGACTTACGACCGGTTGGGTAGTCCTCGACTTACGACCGGTTGGGGGTCGCGGCATTAAAAAGGTTGAGAACCACTGGTGTAAAATATAGGCATTGAATAATTTATTTTTAGGTTAGCTAGGAAAAGAGTCCCGCACCATGAAATACTATTGGATAATTTTGTTATTTGGTAGTATATTTGGTTAAATGTTCTTGGCTTATGGTAGGTCTGCCATGACTTATCTGTCACCTGGGAAATAACTCCTCCTCCCCCTTCTCCCCATCAAATAGGAAAAGCTAATGGAAATTGAAAAGTTCATGTTTGATTGAGGCAAAGGGAAGCGGCAGCGGCTTGAGTTTCTCGGCTCTGTCCAAAACAAAGAAAGCGGAGACGCAATAGCAGGATTGCTCTCAAGAAGACCCGCATGCGCTGCTCGCTCGTATACGCCAACCTTATTGAGAGCAACCCTCCTGCTGCGCCTCCGCTTTTTTCCACTCGGACTGAACCGCTTGAGTGGGAAGAACGACAAGGAGAAGAGCGGTCAGGATTTGTGCCAGCCGGCCTGCCAGGCAACAAGTAGGTCGGGCAGAGTGACTGGGTGGTTGGGGAGGAGATCGTGGCCGCTCAGGTGGCTGCTGACACCACCGCCAGCAGCTTGGGTTTCTCGGCTCTATCCTAGTGGAAAAGAGCGAAGGTGCACGCGAGCAAGCAGAGTTCAGGCTCCCATTCTCTGTAAAAGAGGATGGGTGCCTGAACCTGCGCGATATTACGGGCATCCAAAAGCTTCCATCTACTCTCCTCTCCTTCAAAGGCAGAAATCGCAGTAGAGAGGAGACTGATCTTTTCAAGGTAAGTGAGTCTGGTGCAACAGGAAGGGAGGGGGAAGATGAGGTATCTTAGTGGATCAAAGAGGCCTTGGGGGCCTGTTCCATCACTAGGCCCCCCCATGGCCTTCCCCACCCTGAGATGCTTCTTGTTCATTTAACAAGCCACGCATGTGTTAATGAGCAGGGAGTGATCTCGTTCAAGGTACGAGATTCCCACGAATTCTCGAGTTATGAATGAAATGGGCAGGCTCCATTACATTCTTAAATCGAGGACTACCTGTACTAATTGAGAGAGGGACTGGCTCAAAGTCACCTAGATGGCTTTCGTAGCTAAAGCAGGACTTGAACTCACTATCTTCTGCTTTATAGCCTGATGCCTTAACCACTAGACCAAATTAGCTCTTTATTTTCAGTTTTGTTTGCTTAAAACAGCGGTTCTCAACCGCCAAGCAAGGCTGTCTGCCATTTTTTCCCCCTTTTCCGGCGGGTGCCTTACCTCCCTTGGGCTGGGCCAGCTGGTGGTCGGCCTGCTCCATCTCTGCCGCTTGTCAGCTACGGTTTAGTCCTCGACTTACGACCGGTTTAGTCCTCGATTTACGACCGGTTGGGGGTCGCGGCATTAAAAAGGTTGAGAACCACTGGCTTAAAAGCACTCCATTACAAGGTGCTTCGTACACAGAATACGGAGATACAGACAATAAAGCGCATAATCCAGTTTTAAATTTAAGCAAATGCTTTATTTATTTAATGATCCTCTGTTTATGAATGAAAATATTTATATTTCTTGGTTGGGTCACAAATCTCAGAATTTTCTGAGAAATGTTTAATGTGATTATCTTTTTAACTAGAAATGTGAAAAGAAGCATTCAAGAAAACTTCAAGATAATTTTGAAACAGGTATGTGTGTTTGTCACTTTAGATAATACAGAATAAAGGTATATAGCATTTATATTTCAGTACATATTACTTGTTAATCAGCAGACAACTTTGTACCTTAGTTTAAATGTCTGTGATTAGTGCTCTATAATTTACAGTGCCCAACCTTGCAAAATCTTTGGCTTTACCCAAGGTATTGTGCTTGAGTCAGAGTTTCCTATTACAGCTGAACAGGGAAAACTAAATCCCTGCACTGATGAACAGTATAGTCATATAGTAACTTCCTAAAGGAGGATTAAATAACAGTTTAAACAACTGTGATTATGATAGTGCTAAAGCTGAGTGCGAAAAGGATACGGGAGGGTTTTCAAGAGTACATTACAGTACTGTACCCAGTTTTATTAGCGTGAAATGGTTTCTGAATAGAGCACTGTACTTTAGTATTAACAATTTCTTTTTTAAAAGTATAGCTTTTCAAAGTGTAAATTCTAAGGAAAGCTGTAAAGTTTAACATTGCTTTAGTTCAGTGGTTCTCAACCTGTGGGTCGGGACCCCATTTGGGGTCGATCGACCATTTCATGGGGGTCGCCAAGCAAGGCTGTCCGCCATTTTTTTTTGTCCATTTTTTTTGTCCGCCATTTTTTTCCCCTTTTCCAGCGGGTGCCTTACCTCCCTTGGGCTGGGCCAGCTGGTGGTCGGTCTGCTCCGTCTCTGCCGCTTGCCAGCTACGCCTCGGCCGGCGCAGGGGGCGGAACCACGCATGCGCATTGCTCCCGGGCAGGGAAAGTCCTCGACTTACGACCGGTTGAGTAGTCCTCGACTTACGACTGGTTGAGTCCTCGACTTACGACCGGTTTAGTCCTCGACTTACGACCGGTTTAGTCCTCGACTTACGACCGGTTGGGGTCGTGGCATTAAAAAGGTTGAGAACCACTGCTTTAGTTGATGCTTGTGTTCTCTTATTTGAGAGCAAGGTTACAAATTCTGCAAGCTACCGTTATGAGAACATGTCTATTGTAACAGTATACTTTTGATGTTAATGATCACCGTCTTACTAAAGATGTCGCAAACCTATGGTGTTGTCATTGCTTATTCTGAAGATTAATAATAAGTGATAAATTGGAAGATCGGGATTTAAAGGAGGAACAGGACACAGTCTTGGGACAAAGGCCATTTTCATTTAGATCTGCTTTGACTAAGGTAGCTTTCTCCAATCTGCTGCCCCTACCGTACCCAGTTTTATTAGCCTATAAAACTATGTAACTCTAATCTGATTATAGCTCCCATACTGTCCCAATTTTTAAATTAGTGAATGTCTAAGTAATATGCTACTCTATATTTGAAGTTTTCTTAATACGAAATTGTTTTGACCCCTATTTATAACTCACTGCTAAATTCTTTATTCTTTTTAATGTAGAAACAGCGTACGATTTGTGCTGCCTCAGCGAAGACCAGCAAGTAGACCGTGGACAATCGGTGTCATGCAACGGCCATTGCAAATTCTCTTTCTCCTCACGTGCTTTTCTGAGCTTCAAGTTTGACCATGATGCGATCATGAAAAATTTTGACTTCTGAAGCTTGGTTGTTTGGACAAGCTGGCTAGAGTCCTGGCACAGAGCGATTGAGTGGGTTTTTAAAATCCAATTTTTACATTTTCTCAGGTTTTAAAGCAATGCAGGGACCTAGTGGTGGACTGGAAGGTCTTGTTCTCATTGTAATATGGGAGTAGCACCATACAGTGTTGCACTTTAAATGCAGTTTAGCTTTTACCTGCAAAAATGCTTTCCAGTGTATCATTTAGTAGTTCCTAGCTATGCATTAGTGGGCATTTTTAATTCATTTGTCTAGATTTTGGAGGAGTATTTTACTCTTGGGCCGTGTTAACCTTTTACACATTTAAATTACTCTTATGTATCATATTGGTTTTTTTGTGATATTTTGCAGTACAGCTGCTGAAAAACCCGTACAGATTTTCTGAAGAGTACCATATTCCGTACTGAGCAAAGGAGCCAAGTATTGTACGATTCAGAATTGTTGAAAAGCAACCTTTTGCTCTGAGAATTGTTCTGCTTGGGATCTTATATCATTCAGATCAATTTATTTCCCCATCTTCATTGTTGCACTGTACTGGAACTTTTTTAAAATATAGGCATGCTTTAAAATTGTATTATTAGTGTGATATTTTATCTTACTTTCTGTTCAATAGTTGTGTTTGTTTCAGCTCCAATGGAAAGATGGTGGTGATATTGGAATGTGTCTAATATAACTTTTACTGTTCCCCATGTGTGAAATGTCTAAGCTGTTTCCAACCAGAATTACAGGTTCTTTGAAAAATGAAATATGAAAATGTATGTTTAAGGAGATAATTCTAGCAGTTAGAATAAATTAGTTTTTGGAAGTAGTGCAAAAGGAAAAAAACAACAACATTATATGAAATTACACGGCTTATAGCTTTTGTGGCAACCAAACTAAGGAAAACATACTCTAGCCAATCTCAAAGCCCTATTAGTTATGCTGCCTGTGACAGAAGTTTCATGGATGGTCTGAGGAGATTTTCCAGTCCAATGGAGCTGTACAGTTTAAAATCTCCTCTTAAAAGTAGTACGAGAGGGAATTAACTATATCAGCTTCAGATTGGCAGAACTGATAGCCTGAATCAGGAAAAAGCATCATTGAATCATTTTGATCCAAAGCTGGTTCTTTTCCCACCTTGGAACACCATATATTGAGACTGTGTGCCATTTACTGCCTATAGAAACACCACCAGTTGACTTAGAAGGGTTTCCACAGTAATGGAATTATTGGCAAAAGGGCACCACCACCCTATACTAATGTTTTCATTCAAACAACAACAAGGATGTTTGTTTCTACTGTTCACTAGGTTTGTATCATTTTCTTTCAGTATTTTGGTCTAACTTAAAATTGAGTTTGATTTCAGAGTAGTAGCTCAAAAATGCATTGTGCTACATCAGTGAAAACATGAAGCGGAATAGCAACAAGCAATAAAACCTGAATTTATAGTCCTAGCCCAAGGTGCACTGAAGGAATGTCTATAAATAGAGATTGTATAAAACCTGCTACTGAATTTTGTTTCCTCAGTGCTTTAGCCTTATTATGACAGTTTGGATTCACAATATTCACTGAGGTTTCTGAAATTTATCTAGAGTAGGCTTGAAAGTTAAGCGTAGCCCATTCGCTTGCAAAATTCTTGCAATATACAGTTTTCTGTTAAGGGATTATACAATGAAATGTACATGTAACTATCATAAACCTCTTGTTCATAATAACAAAATAGTTGCAGATTAATTTCCAAGTAAGTTCAGTTTTCTTTATTGATCATTTTGTAAATAATTGAATTACAGACTAACCTAGTTGCTATATGCCTGCTTACTGTATCCAGCATTTATTTCATAACATGAAGTTAATTGGATTTGCATTATCTGTTAAAAGTAAGATAGTTGAAAAACTGGTGATGAAGATGCCATATTCTTTTGTTTAATCTTCATCTGTGAAAATAACTTTTTGGTCAGTATTTAATGCAGGTAAACTCTTCTAGTAATAAAAGTGCCTAATTTGCTAACTTCTCAATCACTGCAAATTGGATTTTCAGGCTGCTAGTGCCAATATTCTTCTGATGTGTACCTTGATTTCCAGGAATGTTACTGTTTAATGCTGCTTCCTTTGTATGATGCCATTAATAAGAGGAACTTTGGCACAGTTTTGTGTATTTTGAATATGAGGTGCTTACGTGTTATACTAGCAATGTGAGATTAATTTTCCTAAGTGTAAAGTAACTTATAGGGCCCACATTCTTTCCTTTTGAATATAGAAAATGTTTTCTGTTTTGCAGAGAATAATTTCTTAAGAAAATCCAGTGTCTGACTACTACTTTGTTGAGGGCTTTCCAGGGACTCTAAAAGACTAATTTTGGTTTATTAATCTAGCCTTAATACAGGTTGCAAATTAACATAGCAACATATGCAATAATTATCACTTTTACCAGATATTATATTGCACATGGCTGTATTCCTTAATTTGATTCTATCATGTCTTAAAGTATGGAAAATAATGTAATAGTTCCTGGGTGCCCTGCACTGTGAACATTTCAGATTGTTTACCTCTTCAGTTAGTAATTATGTTTTTATTTTCTTGCAGAGAGCTTAAATATTACACTCACATATTCCAAAATGCAGGCCTATGGTTTTCTTCTATGTATCAGTGAAGACAAGGTAGTTCATTGGCTGTAACTGATTCTTGTTTCTCTAATGGGGCATTTTAAAGGATGAAAAATAAATGATCTGTGCATGGATCTGAACTCATCTCCATAAAAAACATTACTGTTTGACTGTTGGATTCTGTACTGCTGTCTAGCAGAGGGCATAGCAATTATTAATCTGCCTTACTTAATTGAATTAAGTATGTCTTTTAAGATCAAGTTAAGTCTGCTATAAAAATATAGACTAAATCATCGGGGGAGTGTTTCTATATGTATGCTTAGTAAAGCTTTACATTTGTTCTTAACCTTTGTCTACTCTGTTAGGGATATATATATATTTTGTGTGGCATGAAGTCTCATATCTTTCTTTGGATGCTTTTAAATGTTCAGAGAAAACAGATTGAAAGAAGTATTCCAGCTTCAATTCTTCATTTTTTTCTGGATTATGGGCTAAATTTAAGCAGAATTTTAATAGATTTGTTATACAATTGTACATGTTTGTTTCAGTTTAAATGTAAAGTTTATTTCCAAGGCTGTCAAATATACAATGTATGATCACACAGTTAAGTGATGTATTGATATACTCTTTTACACAGTTTTTGGTTATTATCACAAAGTAGGGAGTGCCGAATGAGTTAATAAATATGTACTTAAAGCAGCTTTTGATATTTTACATCTAGAGGTGATGGATAGTGTAAGTGCCTCTTTTCCAGTGGTTTTTTTTTTCATTGCTGCCTGCCTGAAATTGATCAATGACATTCTTTCTGCCTGGTAGCAATGTTGCCTGAGATGCTATTTTAAATTTCAGATCAAACACTTTGTGAGATTTTTCTGGTTAGATGTGTAGATTTTGATTTTCCTATCCTAGATCAAGTATGTGGAACATGGATATTTTGTAGCTATTAATCATGAAGCACTCAGTTCAGATGTTCTGTTCCTCCTTTTTACATTTGAATTCTTATAGGTACGTCTAATCATGTGCACTGTGAAGGCTTCCTTATAGGAAAGCTGCCTATTACTAAAATTGGAATGTATTTAAACATGTGTATTTTATTCAAGAAGTGGGAATTTGACTTAAACTGCTACTATATGCTGAAAACACAGATGGATTCAAAATGTCTTCAATGCTTATATTCAGTATACATTTCACTTGTTCCTCCAAGCGTGCTTATCAGAAATGATGTAAGAAGGTCCCATTTTTCTTACCTGAATCTTGAAAAGACCTATGTTTTTATGGGTTTTGAATTACGCATTCATTTTTTAATATCAATATTCAGTCTTTTGTTTCATTGATCAGGATTCATCAATCAAACTTGTTGCATATATTCAAGATTTTGGATTTTCCTTAGGCAAAACAGTATCACATATTAGATGGCAACGATTTTTTTTAAACCAAGGGGTGTTTCTAAAGTAATTTTGTATGTGACAAAAGTTTCTAATAGTTTTGTATGTGTGGGGTGTGTGTGGATGAAAATACAGCTGGACACATATAAGCTTTTTGATGTGATAAAAGTAATTATAATTTGGTTAAGTAACATCATAAATATTAGAGAATTAAAATTAACCTGTAATTTTAGAAAAATAAACTGCATATTGGGGTCCTGTTTGAAATGTGTTTTTCTGAAGTTGTTTTGTTAATGTTGTGTAAAAACAGCTTTTTGCAACATATTGTAAAATGTTATAAAATCAGTTTTTCAATTGGTAAATCAGTTAAATAGTCCAGTGTCGTAAAATGAATATACAGTATTCATTGTGGCTTATTTGTAGAAAATGTAAAAATCTTTCTATAATGGCACATATATTAGTGGAAATATAAGTTTGATGTCCAAATTAGTTTTTCTTGACCAGAGTTTGTTTATTCCTTAAAGACCAATCTTAATCCATTGTAGTGAGTGGTCTCTCAAACATGTTAAGGTGTTTTTCTTTGTTTTTAAATAAAGCAATTGTTAATATTCACTGTTACATGGTATAAAAGAATGACACTGCAATAGTAATAGCTTGTTTTTGATGAGATGGCAATGAAAATTACAACCAAAGATGCAGTTATAGTAGGTAATAAGAATCCATTTGAGAATTTTTATTGTTTGACACTTGGTCTAATATATATGGTTCAAATATCTTTACTGCTTGACAAGACCTAAGGAAGATTTGGGGCAATAGTGCAGATTTTTGCAATAATTTGATCTTCAAAATGTTATTTTACTATTTTTAACAGCAAGAAACTTTGGTCCTGACCAAAGTGAGGAACAATGAGTTGGTTAGTAGAGTAGTTCTTCTATCATATGTTAGAGGATAGAATTTTTTTCCATTTATATATTTAAAATAAACCAAGATTATCTTTGAAATATAATCAGATGCCAAGTATGTAATGTGTATGATTTTGTACGTTCACCAAGGTATTTGTATTTTGAAAAGAAACAACTATAAGAATGGGACTTGTAATAACAAATAATTTGAAATATGTTTCTGAACTGCAAGGCTATAGCGTGCTGCTTGGACTTTATACCTGACATACTGCATAGGAACTGCAACTAACGTTTACATACATTAACATAAATTAAATGATTTCAGTATTTAAATTGTAAATTATCCTTCTCAAGCAACTTGCCCTTAACAGGGAATTTCAATAAGCTTAGGCTGCTTTAGGCTGCATTGTCACCAGTGTCTTTATTGCTTTCTGGATCTTCTTATATGTTTTCCATTTATATTTTTAAAATAAACCAAGTTTGTCTTTAAAATATAATCAGATGCCAAGTATCCAATGTGTATGGTTTTGTGTGTTCACCAAGATGTATTTTGAAAAGAAACAACTATAATGTTGCTACATTTAGTTGAACTTGCTCAGATATATTCCTAGATCATGGACTTTCCTTTTCCAGGATTCTTGATTGCAGGATACCTTCCAACTCAACAGGAAGATAGCATATATGCAATAAGATATACAACAGGAGCTATTTTTTTCAAGCATTTTATCCAGTATAGGTTTTAAAAAAGTGCCATGTCCTATATTTAGTGGCTAAAAATACATTTCTAAAATGGTGAGTTTTGTTATATAAGAAATACATTAATTTTGCCTGATTCTTGTATGACACCATTAAACAATTTTCAGTCCTAACTGTCATGTAAACAAATGTAAAGTGCAAGGTGGTCTTAAGTTGGGTATCCTCCAGCAGTGCAAACGTCAACCCTCAAAATTCCCGAGCCAGCACTGAAGTCTGCATATCCAGAATTTGCTAAGGTTGGGGAATGGTGGTACAGAAAATATTCCAAGTGGAATGGAAACAAGTGCTATAAAACAGCGGTCTCCAAACTTTCCGGACCGGCGGCAGTGGGGTAGGAGGGGGAGAGGAGATGGTTTCATGTGCATGCATGAATGCCGCTTTCACAAATGACGCTTTGCATGCATGACCTTGCCCACCACTTCTGCGGCCTAGTTCTGAATGGGCTGTGACCCAGAGGTTGGGGACCCCCTGCTGTAAAACATTCCTATATATAGAATAGCTTCAGCTTGAGAATCATTTCACGCTCCCCCAAAATAGGTATCCAGGACTTTTGACAAAGAAGGGCAAAATACATTAATCTGTTAAGAAAGAAGATTGAATGCCTTCTCAGCATTAAATTTTTATTCAGAATATAAGAACATTTATAAAAGTGTCATAAATGTCTCTGTATAAATAACTAGTTTGTACAATTCTATATCAAATAAACACAAATAGCTATTTTACAGCATCTAAAAAAACTATTAGAATGAGAAAAACCAATGAAAATGGTGGTTTTTCAACAAAAAATTGCTAATATAAACAAGGAACAATACTGACATTTAATTTAAAAATGTGCTTGCTGTTTTGTAAATAACAATATATTCAAGCTGGTGTAAAAATCATGCCTTGAAAAAGTAACAGAATATATTTTGTACAATATGTCAGATGTACCAACTTCTAGAAGCCTATTTTAACAGTGTTAACGTGTCACGAAATCAGCTTTTGCTTAAGAGACAGAATGGATATTAACCATATTATGATGGTGGAACTATTCTAGCATGCCTGCCAGCTTTAGCAAAGCCAAGATGCTGGATGCATCTGAAAGTTTTTGCTCAGGTAATATCACTGATGGAATGCTGGAGGATGTGCAGTTTCCCTTATTGTGTTGAGAAAATTTGGAAACTGCAGGACGGCAATGGCAAGATTGCTGCATTCTTTTCATTTGGCATGATCCTCTGCTGGTTGAAAAGCCTTACATCAATTCAAGGAATCCAATTTGCTTAAGCTAAAGTAGGGCTCTCCTGCTCACCTAGCAGTTCGAAAGCATGCAAATGTGAGTAGATTAATAGGTACCACTTTGGTGGGAAGGTAACAGCGTTCTGTGCTCCTTTGGTGTATAGCCACACTGGCCACATGACCACAGAAAATGTCTTCGGTCAAGGCTACCTCCCTTGACCAAGAAAGGAAGATGAGCACTGTGCCTTAAGAGTCAAGACAAGACTGCATAGGGAAACCTTATGGAAAAACAGTTAATGGCATGTCAGTTAAAATAGGTTAAGAATTATAAGTAAAATATGGAATGTATAATGTAGTTCACAGTACAATTCTGAAGATTTCTAATGAAAGAAAAAAGATAGTGAATGAAATAAATTACTTCCATGTACCAGAAGCAGGTATTCTTTAAATTAGCAATTTCTAATAAGAATTATATTGCTAATCCAAAAACAAACCCAGATTGATTCAGACAAACTACCCTAAGTACAATGATAAAACACTATTACAAAAAATATTAAATCATGCAATAAGAAATTTTAAAATGAGAATGAATAATCTTTTTTTCAGATTACTTGCGGTTTACAACTTGTGGGGAAAAAAGGAAGGAACCAAACAAGTGAATTCCCCTCACATTTTACTATATTCTCCATGGATTAAAATCTTTTTTATAAATATCTGATTTGCTTAGATTATGGAGTTGATGTAGTTTTGCCTAACAATCATAGCATTTGTCATAAAACAAAGGTACTATATTAAAAAACGCCAAGCAGAAAAAAAGGCGAGAAAACTGGGCCCAAATGAAGTCTAATGTGACTATCTTGCAGAGCAATACGCTGGGTGTCACATGGAGATGGGGAGAATCACAGGTGAAGGATGTCACAGTCAAAGTCTGTCAGGATCACGTTAGTGAGCAGAAGGCCATTTTCTCCATGGGATGAAAAAGATGGAATTAATCAGTACTAGCTTCAGAGCATGCTTTTCTTTCCTATCCTTTCCTTCCAAAACCTGTCATACAGATCAGCTTGGATACTCATGCTTAGAAGACTGCATGGTACAGGAACAAGGATAGGATGTTGCACATTTTTTTTAATTCCACTTTTGGAAAGGGCAATCTGAAATGTTCTGTCTATACCAAATTCAAATGCAGAGATACCTTTGAAAATAAATCCTTACATAGTTCTTATTTCAGACAACTCCAAATTGAGATAATTTAATGTCTCTAAGTAATCCTAATAAAATAATGCAGGTTAGACCTGTCTAACTTGCTTTATTTGAAAACATGGCTAGGTGCTGATCTTCACTATAAAAGAAATAGAAAAAAATCAGTGTGATTGAAAAGTGTATTAAATTGTCTACAATGATTAAATGTGGACGAACATTCAAAAGACTAAAAAGATATTGGTAGGACTATTGGTCTTATTGTAGTCTTTCCAAGAATCAGTGCAAGGAGAAACCATTCTAAAAGGAAGGCACCACTGCAGAACATCTGCCATGATTGAGTATTATCCTTACAAGATTAATGTCCGACATCTATACAGCAGACTAAAAGAAAAAGAATTATTGCTACATTTATAAAAGAAAAATAGAATAGAAAGACATTTCAATTTAAAAAGGCTTTAAAATTTAAGGGACATAATACTGCATTCTCTAATTCTAATTGATACGGTTTACTGAGCTAAGTGGACAGTATTGGCATTGTAACTGATCCTCACTGGAAATTAATGTTCCCACATTTTTGGGGAAGTACATTTACATTCATTTAATCAGGCACATTCCTTAACATTTTATGCTGGTTTTAATCAGAAAATAAAAAAGTAAAATGAGCAAAGGGAATATTGTTATTTTGGAACTAAACAGCTGACTTGTTAGTTTTATGAATCTTACCCCGTACACACACTATTCTAGAATATTTTGCAACACTCATGTAGTTTATATACGGAATGCAAAGGATTAGACATTGTCCAGCAATATATTCCTTCATTTCTTTTATAAATGCATAACTGCTACAAATTAAGAACAACCTCTTATTTGTGATAGATAGCAGCAGTGAAATAGCTTGTCTTTAGACAATAGACCAATGTTTCCCAAACTGATGAATTCTGGGAGATGAAGTGCACACATCTTAACAATTGCCACGTTTGAGAAATACTGCACTAGATGCTTAGTCTCAGAATTACTATGGATTCTATTCCATGACTGACTGAGATGGCAAACTGCAGGTTTATCAAATCATACAATAGGATGATGCTGGGGCATTTTCAATGGGCATATTCTAAAAAATGTACTAAAGACAGAAAGATAAGAGGCATCAGTTATAGTGTGAGAGACGTTATTCCAGTTGGTTTGACATAAAATTCTTCCACTGCCCATATTCTTACTGCTATTTAATGAGAAGCAAAAAAACTAAAACTAATTTAGTCTCCATTTCAAAAGCCCAATTTAAAATCATATTTCCACTACATCTTCCTTTGAGTTGCAACAGCTATTTATCAACTTACACCTCCATCACTGCAAAAATTATATATGTGCAGTAGTTATTGTGATTTCCCATCACTTGAAGAAGCAAGAGTAATTCCTGTTCCCCTAAAAAGACAATTGTACGCTAATACTTGATCTGCTGTGTACCTAGAGGTTGACTACAGATACCTGATTTACATTGTAAGTAGGAATGCAGAATGAATGACAAAAGAAAATTGGAAAAGAAATGCTATTATCCAAATGAAAGCGATGAGTGCACTGGTGTTCCAGCACTGCCTCATTGTTATGGTAGACTCCAAAGAGAGTGTTCAGTGAATAAGAGCAGAAGAATATACTTACTCATACAAATTTGAAATTTATAAGAGAATCTGTAATAATATCAGTAAAACTATTACATGGAAAATGTGATAAACTGATACATTTACCATCAGGCACTGAGTATGCTCAATTATACAAAAACATTTGTTTGGGGGCTCCTGCCCATGGCTGTGTATTGTTGAAGTTGCAATCTCACTATGAGATACTGATCTCCAACTTTGCCTGGTTTGTATCAATTAACAACTGTGTTTACTATCTCAAGGAGTCCTGTAAGGAGTCATTTTTGTAATGGCACATTGATTTAAAGAAAACTAATATCTCTTAAAGCGATGTTTCATTGGTATGGGGTCTTGAGTTCTCTTCTTCCAGCAAAGCAATTCTTTGTTTGAGCATCCTGACTTGAGTCTCATGTCTTTCCACCATTGCCATCATCTGGGATTCCAGTTTCTTCAGCTTATTTTGGTGCTTCTTCTTTGCTTTCTCATAGGCAGCCACAAGGTTACTATGGAAACACAATAACAGAAGGTCAAGGTAATCATATCTACACATCCATTCTGATTGGCAGCATCTTAAATGGTTATTGATTAGTTGACATTCTGGGCAAGATCCCCACAACAGCTTTTCAATCCCAGCTGGCTACACAGCTCTGCTCTGCGTATAAGTCCAACATTCTGCTAGT